CATCTTTTAAGATGCTTCATAGCCATCTTTACTTCTTCTTTTGAGAACTCTGTTCTGCTCCTTAGCCCACCTTTTAATTGGGTTACTTCTTAATTCTCTGTTTTTTGAGTTTGTTATATTCTGGATATAAAACATCTGTCAGATGTGTCACTGGTGAAGATTTTCTCCCATTCTGTGGGTTTTCTGTTCGCTTCCCTGGTTGCCTCCTTTGATGTACAGAAGCTTAGTTTAATGAGTTCCCATTTGTTAATTCTTGCCCTTGCTTCCTGAGCAATTGGTGTCCAGTTTAGAAAATCGTTTCCTACACCTATATCTTGTAGGTTTTTCCTAATGTTTTCTTCTAACAGTTTCAGAGTTTCAGGCTTTACATTGATCCATTTGGAATTGACTTTTGTGCAAGGTGAAAGTTAGGGGTTTACTTTCATTCTTCTAAAGTGGAGATCCAGTTTTGCCAGCACCATTTGCTGAACGTGCTGTCTTTCCTCCAGTGAATGTTCTTGGCCCCTTTGTCAAATATCAGGTGGATGAAATTGGATTTACTCATTTCGGTCTTCAATTTTGTTCCATTGATCTATGGATCTGTTTTTGTGCCAGTACCATTTTGTTTTTATGACTATAGCTCTGTAATACAGCTTAAAATCTGGTATAGTAATCCCCCCAGCATTGCTCTTAGTGCTCAGGGTTGCTTTGGCTATCTGAGATCTTTTGTGCTTCCATATGAATCTTAGGATGTTTTTTTTCCAATTCTGTGAAAAATTTCATTTTCACAATATAAATTCTTCCAATCCATGAGCATGGGAGAGCCTTCCATCTTCTGATGCCTTCGTCAATCTCTCTTTAAAATTTTCATTGTAGAGGCCTTTAATGTCTTTGGTCAGGTTTATTTAGAGATATTTCATTTTGTTTGCAGCTACTGTGAAGGGAAGTGTTTCCATGTGCTCTTTCTCTGATTGCTTGTTACTGGTGTATATCAAGGCTACAGGCTTTTGTAGGTTAATTTTGTAACCTGCCACTTTACTGATCGTGTTAATAATTTCTAGGAGTTTTCTGGTGGAATTCTTGGCGTCTCTTAGATATATCATCTGCAAAAAGGGATAATTTGATCCCGTCTTTTTAAATTATTACTCCTTTAATTTCCTGCTCTTGCCTTATTGCTCTTGCAAGAGTTTCAAGCACTATGTTAAAGAGAAGTGGAGATAGTGGGAAGTCTTGTCTGGTTCCTGATTTCAATGGGAATGCTTCCAGTTTTTCTCCATTTAGAATGATGTTGGCTATGGGTTTGT